TACAATAGAACTATTATAGTAATATAGTCTAGCTGATTATAATTTATAAGTCTATTTGGCTTTGGTCTATGCAGTATACAATAATGAAGTTGTAATTATAAAATGGTAWRTGTTAATAACAATGTTTTTGGTCGCAAGGAATGGCATCACTGCTGGCACGCTAGGAAAGACACGTTTACCAACATTTGTTCTTCAGTAATATTATCCAACTGGTCCAATTTTACTGGTTGACGGTAGTAGATAATTTCTTGATGGTGGCTATCATGGCCACAGATATATACAACACGGCTTAAGATAGAAATCTATCTTAAGCCGTGATATACAATAACAATAATATATATTGTATATATCTGTGATCATGGCTTACCATATACCGCAAGATAATACCAACAAAATAAACAAACATAGTGATATAAAAATGTGCATATCATTATTATTATTATTAAAATACGTTTCCTCYTTCCTAAATCCCATTTCCTAAGTAATAACTAATAAACTCATATAGTCATATCACAATCCACAATCGGTGTTTTGTATTTGATGATACTAAAACATTTTCTATTATATTTCCAAATAATTCATTAATTTTACATAATATACRTAAGTTTACCATTTTTTTCGTTAACTGTGTTTATCTAGTAATTGTTTATTAAATCGTTTTATTTTCCTCTTTAAAATCGACTACCTGCGTATTACACTCAAGGGATTTTTGTAAGACGTTCTCCTTTGTTTCAGACCACCGATAAGAAGGTACGTATCTATTATTTTTAGATACATTATAAAATCTTAAAATATTTATATAACACACGAAATTAAACTATACTAGGTTCACACGTGTAAATTACATTCGGCTTCATCGTCGGTTGTACCATACCGTGTTGTCTGTGGTATCTTAGCTGGAAACATGATAAGTGAAGAACCAGAGATTTCCTTGGTTAACGTAAAGTTACGTTTGGGTACTATGACTATGTACACCGAAAAAGTATACATAGATTTTCAATCGCCTGTCAGCGCATTGAGAAAAAAAATTCGTGAAAAGGATAATAATCTGGACAAAGTTGATTTTGTAATGGTTTATTCTGGAAATATCATGGAAGACCGTGCTCCTATTTATATGTATGAGCTTGTCAATGGAGCTACTGTGCATTTGTTCAAACGAATAAAAATCGATATAATAGAAAATCCAAACACTGTTGAACACACTAATGCAGGAATGGTTAAACTGGGTATAGCTCTTCGTTCGCTCTCGTTGAATTCTTCATACAAATGTGCATTGATGAAAATTAGTAAAACCAAAATGATAAGTGATCTAATCACATCTATTCCTGAACTGAGTAGCGATCCTGTAGCAATTACTCTTTTACAACATCCTGAACTTTTAGTTAAACTCAATGATGTTGATTTGGTAAATAACATTGCGGTTAATCATAGTGCTTTGGCATTAGCTGCAATTCAAATTTCTGCAGTTGTTCATGATCAACTTGTGCAGGTAAATTTATCAAAACTCCTTTATGCCTTCTTTTATTTATACTAACGTGGACATATTTTAATTATGTGTTAGAACCACTTGGCATCAGATGTATTGGCCAGATCTATGTCTGCTGGCAGTGATGATGAAATGGAAGATTTAGATGATTCAACTCTTGGATCACTCAGTAACAATCAATCATTGAATAGAAACTTACCTTATGCCATCACTGCCGCACAGTTGGCCACAGCTATAGCAAATGTATCGACTCAACAATCACTGCCAAGTACTAGTGGTGCAAGTACATCAACTGCAAATGCAGGAAATGTGCCTGTGATTCCTAATACCACTCAAAGCCAACCAACTACACCAGCAGTTGATTATAGCTATCAATTAGGATTAATGAGAGAAATGGGTCTGTACAATGAACCTTTAAACCTTCAAGTATTGCGAAACACAGGTGGTAGGTTAGAAGTTGCCATTGAAGTAGTATTAAGTGGTTTTGATTTTTTAGATTCAGATTCAGATTCACAACCTCTATTTTAATATCATTTAAAACAATAATTGAATAATATATATAATATGTTATAGTAATGATTTTAAAAATAAGCAATGATTAATATTTAGTTATTATTCTTGTATTTGATTTTTATCAACATCACTTTAAAGACAAATAAAATATTATTTAATTACAAATTTATTATTTATTGCATTTAAGTATAAATATTATAACTTAATAATGTTTTAATTCAAACAAAATATTAATTTTCATTCACCTTATATGACATGTTTCCAGCTAAGATTAGGTCAATGTATTTTGTGTGTGGTACCATACTATTGTCTATTACTTAAAAATGTTATCGTAAATTTATATAATATCTGCAAAATATGTTAAAGGGTTGATTCTTACATTTTATATTGTTTATCACAAAATATTAGTGACAAAAATATTCAATCGATAGTTCTAGGTATTCATAGAGCACATTGTTTTATCTAAATGTGATTTTCTATTGATAGTTGCTGCTCATAATTTGTATATATTTTTAAATGTATAAACTATTTTACATACTTAATGTTAATTTCATTTATGTGTGCATAAATTTAATAAATTATTGTGATGGTATATTTAATTTCTAAGACCATATTTTACCAAAATTATTGACAAATAAAAAATTTATGCTTAACATAGATAACCTTGGAAATTCGAATAAATACAAAAATATTAAATAGAGTTTAAAACATGAAAACAAAAATTAATTTCATACACTTATGATTTATTTTAGTGGTTCCCAAACTGTGCATCTCAAGCACTTCTATAGAATATATAGTTTATTCTATAAGACTATAACCAATGAGTAATACTAGTGTCTAGTTACACAGACTGTATTATACAATTTATTAAACACAGCCAATTTTTGTATAACAACTGGGAAAGTTGCTTTGCTCTCAAATGTACCTAATCATCAAGTCTTAGTCATCCTGTAATTTGTAATATGATAATTAATTGAATACAGATAATGATTTTGAACATTGATAGTGTGTTTTACTCTGGCCCACTAGTGATCAGTGCCATCACGCGTATGCAGAATAACTGGCTGTGATGAAATTTCCCCCACTTATGTTCTGTAATCGTAATCACGCTGTGTGTGGGGTACACAGAATCGTACAAGTTTTAGTCGAATAGCGGTACTGATCTCTTGTGGGCCGGAGTATAGCCTATGGTTCTGAGGATATTTTATATTTTACTTATGTTTCCATTAATATTTTTTTGTTTCATATTACTTATAATTGGTTGGTTAAACTAACTTTTGTCTTTAATTTTACTTACTTAATAATAATAATGATATTTTGTTATATACAATTTTTATAACTTATTAGAGAATATCAAACAAACAAGAAAATTGTAATTAGTTACCTATTGGCTATTAGGTTTATTTTGCTACTTTCACATATTATTATTAAATAAATAGAAACACATACATTATACATAGTACATACACAATAATAATTGTGTTTAATTTTAAATGTAATAATATTTTTTGTAGGCACATATACAGTGTAACAGATAAACCTAAAAAAAAAAATTATGCTAATTAAACGTATATCAAAAATCATAGTTTTAAAAAAGTTATTAGTGTTATTAATTTATTACGTTCCAGATTAATTTAACCAAAAAAATATTGAATTTTAAAAGAATTCTAAAAAATAAAACTACTTGACTTGATAAATATTTTTACCATTAAAATTGTTCTTATAATCAGATTCACAAATAGGCACATATATGAATTTATCCAAAAAAGTTTTTTTTTAATTTAAATTATTTATTTTCATTTTTCATCACTAAAAAAATAAATAAATAAATATTAATTTGAATAAGTTATTCCAAAAGTCAGTCCTATCTGTTACACCTTGTATACTATAAGTATAGTATAATATTTTACATTAGAAACCAGTAATAACTTATAAGTAATTATCAACACAACTGTTTATTTTCTACTCCATTTGAGTCTTGCAATCGATGTGGTAAGTCTCATTACTGATATTTTCTGATTTGCAGCGGAGTAGATGCGTGTTTAGTACAAAAACATATCTAAAGGAAAAATCACAACCTGTAAAGAAGAAGGATTTCATTACTTTTTTTCTTTTATAGGTAAAGAAGAGCGCATCTTTTAGAAGGCCCGATTTTTAAAATATAATTATAGAAGTTTAAATATTCATTTGAATTATACACAATATTTCCTCAACCCCTTTTCAAATAAATAGGTTTTGGCAGTAAATTAGTGGGAAAGTGTTATTATTTAGGAAGCGCAACTAAAATATTATAATTAAAATTTTTTTTTACGAGTGTTTGAAGGTAAATTTTGGTTTTTATACCTTGCTAAAATGGATTGAACATTTAAAACAATAGGTTCCATAGGTGTTTTCTTACAGCAACCAAAAAATCTCAAAATATATTCAAACTTTTTTTGTTGTTTTAAATACATTTCTAGTACAACATTTTATCATGTTTATTGTTTAATCAAAAAATAATAATTTTAGTTATTTCGTTTTAACTCAAATAATATTCATTGGGGCTTGAAGTTTTTTATTACTATATGTCTATGTGTAATGTGTATATTATTATTATTATTATTATTATTATTATATGATGAAACTCGAAATATTTAGATTTTACGCTGTTTAATATTTATACAACCATTACCATACCACGAATAATTATATACACATTACACACCGTTCAACAGTAATCGGTATTGACATATAACTTGATAACAGCTATTTTCATATCATGTAGGTATCATGTATATTTATTATTGTAAAAAATTAGTCAACCAAATAACGAAAAAAAAATTTTTTTGTTTTGAGAAATTAAAATGTGTATACCAATAAACATGAAATGTGAAAGTAAAAAGATTTTGACTAGTTTGTTATGCAATTTAAGGCCAACTAAATGGTTAAAACTCGAATTTCTATATAATATTTCAGTGCTGACTTTTTTGAAAACTCGTTTAGATAGATAGTGGTGTAAGATTGACCTTGAAATTATACCTTTAATAATTCTGAATTTAATTTTTTTTTAATTAGATTTTATCTCGAATTTCTTTCCGGTATAACTTTTATCATATTGAAGATTTAAAAAAAACTTGTAATAGCAGCGTGAGTAGCAGTAAGCAGGGTAGGCTCTAGACAAAATATATACCTATACATATAGGCAAAATCAAAATTTTCCGCCCTTTCATTTTTGTAGTCTAAATATCAACAAATTTCCCAAAATACGGCCCTGCCTACCAACGAAAAATGCCACCCCAGACATAGCCTTGTGTTGCCTGTGCCTTCCGCAATTCCGCCGGGCCCGGCAGTGAGCTATAAGTATTAAACATTTTGATGAATTCATGGAGTGGAGTAGTGCAAGCCACCTACCCTACAAGCTACAACGTCCCCGAAAAATGTTGGTTTACAACTCTGCTCATCAAAACTTTGAAAACTCATAAGTCATACCTAACTAATATACTTAGTATAATAATATAACATAATTACATAACCAAGTATACCTATTAAACATAGTTCAAAATTTGAGTTAATTAGATTGAAATGTTGCAAATAATATTCTACTTTAGAGTATGAAATTACAAATGTATGCTGTCCTTAAAATTAGTAAAAACTTAAAAATTTATGGCGATAAAAAATATTATGTTTTCCAAGTATGACGTTCTGCAACGACTTTATTTTATGTAAAAGAAATATTTCCAAAAATATATTGTTTTTTGGAATATGAGTTCCAATGATTTATTGGGAACAAATAACATTCATACACATAGTACCTATTCATAGTTCTCAATCGTATTATCTATAATTTATGTACAAACGAAAGAGGAATTTTTGAAAATTTTTAGCAAATATATAGGTACTCCTATCTAGATAAAGAAAACAAAAGGTTCTTCTTATGTATTATGATAATCATAGGTATTAGATATCGCGCTATAATATTGCCGAAGCCATAAATAACATTGTTTGGTTTACAAGTTTCATTTTACTAAAACGCTATACCTAAATAAGTAGGTATTTTCTATACACCCAATCATAATAAACCAAACAAATGAAAAGTATTTTTAAAACAAACATTTTATTTTCATTTAAATACTTAATATTAGTATCACCATTTTTTACCAAATTTTTTTTCTATTTTTTGTATTCACCCAAATGTATTGTAAATACGTGTTTTAGATGTAAAATAATGTTTTCATTTAAATAAAAAAAAACATGGTTGCAAAATATTAATTACCCAAGCATTTATTGGATTTAGTTATTATACAAAATTATATATGATGATATTCAGAGTAATTTTAGTATTCGTTTAGTATGTGACCTACTATACTACACAATGCTCACCCCTTTTATTTTCTTTAATAACGCACTTATTCAAAATCTGATTTTTGGAATTTTTAAATAATATGCGCATTATTATACTATATATTATAAAATTCCTAAGAGCTTTGTGCAACTAAAGAAATACCATCTGGACATACAAAATTCTGTTTTATAAAAGTGAACTTCTTTCCAAGCGCTTCTAATTATTTAGCGGAAAATTTTTCTGAAAATTTGGACGCATCAACATCAAAATTTAGTTTTTGATTAATTTGACTAAGAAATACCTACTAACGATAGGTCTATGATGAACTTGGAATATATTTATCTATGATAGTTATCTATAATTATTTATAATTTGTAAATATGTCCAAGTCCAAGTTATTAAGGAGTTCGAATTAGGCAATTTTTAAATTGCTCGCATGTAAGCCTTGTAAATGTTAAAATGTGTGCGTAGTAAGTGATTAGTGTGTGTCGTGTCTCGTGTGTGACTGTAAAAGAAATAGTATGCTCTAACCTACTGCACGCACATTTACAAGTCACCGCCTCGGCATTTTGCGCGTGAAYGGTTAACAATTTATACCATTCATTTGTATGTACTTTTTATCCATCCGACCGATCGACCTAATTATGCGATAATATTTCAAAAAACTAATCTGTAATCGTTATAATGTCTAATTGAGGTCGATTAGTCGACATTTTAAGATTTCTAATTTTAATTATAAATAATTAACGTTTGAAAATTCCGAAATTTTAATATTTTCCAACCAAATTTATGGTTGTAGGAGGGTGGGAGGGTGAAATTTGGAAACGTGAACCGACCGATTTCAAATCGACAATAACAAATTTAAATCAGTTTTAAAAAGTATAAGGTACTAAATAATACTAGGTCGATATGGTTAAGTTTTAACTAAAATAATAAGTCCGTCACCGATCCCTTTAACTGTCATAACTTAAAGCTTTTCAAGTACGTATAGCCGTCAAGGTTTGTAACGGTTAAGTTTGGTTCGACGGTAAGATGAAAAAATCGTTCGAATGGTATTCGTATTTYCAATGGATTTAATTTTAAACACTAACACGCAAAACTATAAAACTGAGCAGGTAAGTTGCCCTGGGCCCCGCGATTTTAAAATTATAATTAAGGCACCACAGTTCTTAAGTGATATTTTATACTGTTCAGAGATTAGTTAGTTTAAATAATATTATGTAATGTGACWTTTATTTATTTTGTCCGGGGTTCCGCATATCCTAGTCTTCACGGTTCATACCCACTTTGCCGAATCCCAATTTGCCGACAACTCAGTTCGCCGACAAATATACCAGTTTTAAAATATTTTAGAAACATTCCCATTTCGCCGACAGTCTATTTTGGCGACATCTTGGTTTGCCGACAAATTATAAATATAGTTTCATTTTCCCGATTCGCCGACAGGTGACAATAATTTTTATCAAAAACGGATTTTATAACAGCGATAACAMAGTATGTTGTCGATAAGTTCAATGATTAAATGATTTCCCACCACGATTTTAAATCTTAAATCGTGTTTCCCACATATAGAATCCAGAGGGAGTACAGATTATAATAATATAAAATGGTTAATTTTTACACGAAGGATTGTTAATAAGTAAGTTATTTTGTACTTTATTTTAGATTGGAATCAAAAGAAATTTCATTATTAGACTACATAGATATAATAAAATATYATATACCTACAATATACCTACAAATACCATATACATACAATAATTTTTGTTWATAATTTTTWATTTTAATTTATTTTGACTTTTTTTATATAATATTTATATTCGGCGAATTGGGAATCGGCAAATTGGGAACATGTAAAAAATAGTCGACGAAATGGGGTGTCGGCSAATTGAGAGTCGGCGAACTGGGGTGTCGGAAAATTGGGTGTCGGCAAATTGGGTTTCGGCGACATGGGAAGACACGAGTCTTCACGGCTTCACGTACAAACATTATACCTAGTTTTAACGTGTGATTCATTGGTGTTCGGTCAATGTATCTCTTATAGAATCGTTATTCATATAGGCTTACTATTTAAATATATAATATGGATCTATGATGAAACTAGAAACAACAACAGAATTGTATCCAATCGAACAGATGTCATAATAATATAATGTGTGTATTATTCACTATAATATTGTTATACGATACAATATTACATATTCATTGTATACGTCAATTGTAATTTTTTTTTTTGTGTGCCTACATTATTTATTCAACGTGTATTATTATTGTCGTCTGACCCCACGGAGTTAGGTCAGAATATGATTATCTGCAATGTTGATATGACGGTGCGCGTAATATACGTATGACGTAGGTATGCGATGAAAACGTTAAGACAGAGTAATCTCCATGAATAATGTTGCGGTCAACGAAATGTCCGGAATTTACGATATTATCATAATAATAATATCAACATAGAACTCCGTGTAGAGGACCGCAATTATCGTTTTTTTTTTTTAATCATTCGGATAAATAGGCAATACTAATATTAACTTGATTTACCTATATGTAATACCTAAGTACTTTGACAGAAGAATTATAAAAATATAAATTCATAATAATTTATTGCAGTTATTCAATATTGTACTTAATAAGAAATGATGAAATGTAACAATTGTTGAGTACTAATAAATAATAATGGTTGGCGTACATGCGTATAAAAACGCCCTCAAGGGTGGCCATCACGTCAGGGTTATAGTTACACTTGGAATTTTTTTTTTGTGTTTCGTGTCGTTGAATATAACTAAGTTATAATACTATAATATGTATATATTATTATATTTTTGTTTGCTGTTAGTTAATTAACATTTATTTAAAAACATTCTGATGAGATGCACTCAAAAACCACTGAAAAAAGCTCTTCATACTTATAATTATACTTGCACAACATTTAAATATTAAAATTAAACTGTATATGTGTGTAATACATAATGTGTAGTAGGAATCGGTTTTTACTACCTATTTCTAAAACAAATTCCTACTTATGGTGTATATGTATAAATATATACGTTATATACACAACTATATTATGTTAAAATGATAAAATTAAATCACATATAATTTGTTTGATTGCAGATTCATCGAATTTAACCGCATTTGTCGATTTAATACCGGCAGATTCCGTACAGGACAATGGCACCACTTCATATTTCGAAAAAAAAACCGTAAGCATACCTATATAGTATATTGCTTACAACCACACTGCAATGAAATTCATTATGCCAGTCAGTGCCGTAGCCAGCCCCCCCCCCTCCCCCTCGAAATCCATAGTATTCTATTATTTTGTACAGAGTCACTACAGAAATTTTTATAAATTATATCATTAATATACATATTTATATAATTCCAAATAAATCCATAATAACGATAAATTATTTGTAATTTATATTTTGTTTTCAAAAATGTCAATTAATAGTGATAAGCACGATTAAATCATTCCCCTACAGATTTATCCGTGATCGTGGTGATAAGTACCGAACTACCGACCATAATATGATGTCGTGACGGTCTTTAGATAAGAAATACCCGTGAATTCCATTTTTATTGTGGACACGGTTATAGTTTGATTATTATGTATAACTTTAACCATATTGTAAAACAATACTATCTATTATCTAATCACAMTAATCACAGTTACAATAATAATTAATGATATAATCACGGACTAATAATTAAGTCAATATTAAAATATTATATCTTAAATCAAAAGGAATTCAAATGCTTATTGTTATTTCATATATTTTGATTTTTGTTTATAATATTTTTATGTTAATTCGTTCATTATTATATTGAATATTGAAATATACATTAGAGACGTTAAATTAGTAAAGTAGGCAGTACTCATCAAATCATAATGAAAAGGACCTCGAACGTCTCGAACAATTTGTTAAACAAAGTAGATGTGTAGTAAAAAAACTATTGCCCTCCCCCCCCCAAAAAAAAAATATATATATTCTGGCTACGACTCTGGGGCATTATATATAAATATTAATCAAATTTATTTTCGTGGGTATGTAGAACCTATGTACCTCCACAAGGTGTCCGCTGCCAAAAGTGCCTGGAATTCGGTCATTGGACTTACGAGTGCAAAGGAAAAAGAAAATTTGCAGACCGCCCGACTCGCACGACGTTGCTTAGAAGGAATTTGAACAAGGACAGACCCGCCAGTCAGATTTTATCCAAGTAAGTGGGAAAATAAAATTATTAATATGCGATTATACAATTATGTATAATATATAGTATTCAACGATATTATTGTTCGTATGTATTTTATTATGTTTGATTGAAGAAACCGTTCGTGATTTTATTCGTATACAAATATAGTGGTGGCTTAACATTTTGAATCRTTTYCGAATGAATAACTGTATCGATACAACAGTGCCGTAGTTTKCCTCGGAGGGGTGCTGATAATTTGTTATATGGGACCATATAGGATAGACTTAACTAGGATATCATAAGTTTGATTAGGTTGAATAGGTTAAGTGCCGYGATGGGTGGGTAGACTGCAGGTTGGAGTATACAATTTTAGACTTAATATTTAAACAAATTATAACTTTAATTCACGATTATGTCTTATTTAATTCGTCTACAGAACATTGTGGGCATARGCGTGTCCACGGGTCTTGCCTGTCATGCACAAGCACGATCTACGAAATTTGATCAAACTAGCATTGTAAATTTTGGTAAATAATTATATAAACTTTTTTTTTATCAATTTCAAATTTGAAATTGTGTACTACATTTTTTTGATTTTCATCATGTGAATGATCGGTGGTCATATCCCCAAACCCTAAGAGAATTTCTATTTTTTATTTTTTTTTGGGTGGGGGGCAGTTGATTGTGGATAAATTTTCTTATGATTTTTGAGAGAGATGCAGCCCACTCAGGTCTTTCCTTAGCTTCACAACGGTGATATATGTGCACTGTGCAGTATATAATTGTCTAACCAAATAACGAAATCTGTTTTAGGCCCGCGAAAGAGGAGAAATCTAAGAAAAAACTGAAAGACGCAAAACGGAAAAAGAAAAATGTAAACTCTTCCGACTCAGAAAGCGACAGTGACGGTTCTTCCAGCAGCGACAGCAGCAGCAGCAGCGACAATAGCGACACTGATAGTGACAGTAGCAGCAGCAGCAGCAGCAGCAGCAGCAGCAGCAGTAGCAGTGGTAGTAGCAGTAGCAGCGGTAAAAGCAGCAAGAAGAGAAGCAAATCTGAAAATAAAAAATAAACTTTATACTATTTTTACTACCCTTAAAATGTGATGTATGTATATGTACGGTAAGTGCGTGTGCGCACTACGCACCGCCGTTTATCATATGTATTACATATTTTTATATTATGTTTATATTATGACAGTAAAAAAATTAAATGACATTTTCGAAATGAAACTTAACTATTACGAAAAATCCTTGTTATTCCGACGAATCCGCTGCAGACGTGCAAGTCATCCGTGATCCTTCATCTTCGGATTCTGATGTAGTTGTGTCTTCACTGCTGCAGGACGAGGAAGACGTAGTGCTACTTGATGATGACGACGACGACGAAGAGGAACAGTCGTCGTCATCTTCGTCCGATTCCTGCACACCACGGCCAATGGTCTTGGTTGATTTGTCGTTCGTCGTCGACGACGTCTGCTGATGCTGCAAACTTATCCTGCTGCGATAAGGGTTTGAARAYCAACGAAGGTTAAAAAATAAATGAAAAACAATCACTTAGTTAATAGTGTGCATAGTTATAATATTATATATATGGACGTTGAACAGCAGTAGTATAGTTGCTCAAGTTAAGTGGTGTATTTGGTGGGTCGAGATGGATGATGGTTATTTTTTGATTATAATAAAATAAAATAAAAAAATAACTTTATTCTATTTGTCATCCCTGTGGAATAAGTTTGATTTCAAAAGAATTTTCACGTACAACTTTCTATAAATCAATAAAAYAACTAACATCGATAATCCTCCCAAAAACCATTTTTCATAAAATTCGATAAAATTGATTTATTCTTTTACTTTATTTTCATTTTTAATAATGTAGTACATAGGTCTTAATTTGTTATTGTGTAGGTATATAAACTTAAAAAAAAATGATTGATCAATTATTTGGACTATAATATTTTTTTAATACAAATAAACGCCATACACATTTTTAATACCATCATCCAGTTTAAACATTAAGTTGAGGTAAACAACATATTTATTTTTGTGCCTACAATCGACTAAAGAAACTAAACGTATAGTTAGCAGTCAGCACCATTATGGGTTGTTCGATTATTTCCTCTTTTAAAAATTAACAATATATTTGTAACAACGCTATCTAACTTAAATTGTTCTTTATTTTATGTTCTTAAAATTATCGTAATTTGATAGTATTGTGTACCGGCATTTTATATTTATATCGTATTCATGTTTTGCACGGCTATAATATATAATATTCCCACTTTAACTTCATTGCTAGTATATGATACATGTATATTTWAGATTTGCTGATGTCATAGAATGATAATTTTATTAAATCAAGTGTMTAGTACTCTGATGCGTGGTGGCGAATGTKCCACATTTGCACTTGCCAATTTACTGTAGTATATAGGAGTAAATTATTACCCGCAAGTATGCGATATATTATGTATATACCACAAGGAGCTTGATCGGTTCTATAATATTTAAGTACAAGAAGTATGTATAGAGTAAGTAAAAAAATACTAGTTCAAATATAATGAGTTGACCGTCAAAAATTTAAACAAAAAGAAGAGAAAATCGTTTGAAAATTCGTTTTATACTACCTACAGGASAATAATATTGAAAAATAATTTATGTTAATAATATTATTTGTAGGAAAAAATATAAGTTCCTTAAAACTAGTTTTTTTTTGGGAATGTTTAAATATTCAAAAAATCAAGGTTTGTATAAATTCATATTTTGCCTAAACTTAATTGATGCTTATTAGTAAGTTTTATTTTAAGTTTTTCATTATTTATTTATATGAATAATTAACCTCACCTTCACCAAGTACTAAGTTCTAATGACCAAAATATGGTCATATATTCAATTATATTCAGCGTAATTAAGCATACCTACCTATATCTACTAATTCTAAAAATAATCCATTGTTTTTCTAGTTTTTTAGTGTAAATTCTAATTTAATAAAGAGTGTTTTTTTTAAACACTTTCAGATTCAGTGCTTTAAAAGTTAAAACGTACCTACGTACATTAAAAAACATTTTTTAATGGAAATGGTTCACAGGTACCTAATGTATACTAAGATTAGTAGATAACACTAAATATCCAGAACCAGTAACCAAAAATACGAAAGTTCTTCGATAATATTTTAAATATTAAAGATTACACCATAATTTATTCAGACAAGTGAAACAAACTTTTTTTTCCTGAGGACCAACAGCTGCAGCGCGGCGGTCTTCTTGTTATGAGGACATGTCTCGTCGTCGGAGCACGTGCAAGCGTCCGAGTTGGACACGACCGCGATATGTCGGCCGCGGTCGTACGACAAGCAACGGATGCACTGCTCTGGTGCCAGACACGCTTCGTCTTGGTCCATGATGACACGGTCACGCACGTGATACAATATATTATAATATAATATGTTATACGAATACAATGATAATATAATGAATTTCAGTAATTAATAATTTATTATTTTTTACACTATTATTACAGTAAGACAATAGTCTATACACGTCGTATTAATACTTATTGTTTATGTAGTGTTCATGATGCATAATATTGTACTGCGATTACTATCCTACGATAATCTATTGTGACGACGACGACGACGACGACGATGAGGCGCCGCACCGTCGCCGACACGYGGTCRTCTATCTTATATTATAATATATTAAAATACTAAACGGCTTTTGGTTTTTATCGGGACGTTTCCAATCCACACCGGTGCGACGAGCAGCTGTAGTTTCCGACAAATTTAGACGCCCAACCCTATATCCCCACCACGGCCCCAACCATGGGTAGAATTTTGGGCAAAAGTTCAAAAAACATACTATACAAATACAATAATAATAATGATAAATGCGTTAAGTATACCTACAASTGAAATATATCCTGAAAACTCGAAAGRRGGGAAAGGGTATTACAATTGTTTTACATAACTTGTCATGCATAAATGGTTTTTTCACACTTCAACTTCATAATATTTTTTTTCATTTAAAAAAAACTATAGGCCCGTTTCCAAATGTGATCGAGGAGAAGATCGCAATACATCCATTGCCACACTAATACGGAGATGYAATTTGWGCATATAATATTTAATATATTATAATTATACGTATTTATAAACAGTAAATAATATTATAATGAAATAGAACAKCATCACTCATCTGCAAAATTGTTGACCATTATTGTGTTTTAAGAAGCTGCATTGGTGTGTTAGTATGATATAATATTAATAAGTATGGTCCGATACTCATATGGTGGTATGGGGGCCTCCAATGGAGCATAAGTTTAAAAAAAAAATTTCAATCAAGTTAYTAATTTATTCCCCGTACTTTCCGGAATGGAAAAAAAGTTGATAGTGTTAAAAAATATTTCAGAAACCTTTCCATGCAAACGTTAAGGCTTACCAAGAACAAAACTATGTTCAACAAACAAAGCTGCAGAATTAATAATACTATTGTACCTATAGTGGCTATAGTAGTATATGCTTATATATATATATATAATATTTTATATAGCTCAATAATTTACTTACTATTAATACCTATAATTATTTACTGAGAGGCTTTTCTTTTCCTAGATCCACTTTGCGTGAATCGGCGTTGTTAGTTGTGGTGGTATATTGTATACACGTATTATAGATATGTATATAATAATACAGACGTTGTGCAACAAGTGAAATAAATAATGCAATTCTCTGGGATTAAGTACATAACTCGTTTCGTCCAACACGACTGTCTATATAGCCATACAAATAAAAAAGAAAGTATACACATTATAATACCGAATGTATTTTATAATATATATATATATCCTTTTTTCGATTTATTTTAATATTATTAAATAGGTATATAACGCAATAATAAATACCTACTGTGTAAAATGATATCATCTAGTCGAGACTCAGGATGACGTTAACTGCACCTGTTGCAGTCCTCGGTAAGTCGAGTCATGATAATCCACTTGCAGACTGGTCTTCAGWTAATATATTACATTATATCTATATACCTACCTATCAAGGGGGGTATTTGAGTGAAGACCAGGGGGGGGCGAAACTAATTATTATTTTTTCACGTAAATAAATAAAAATATGAGTACTAGATTTAACTATTAAATATTTATTTTATATATATTATATATATATACCAACATAAGGTTGGTAGGTACCTAGTCAAATACTGAAATTCTCAAATAACAAATTCCGTTTTCCTTTTCTTCATTTTAGAAAATTTGTAGATTATATCATCAACTGRTAAAACAATATGCCTGTGAACATGCAGCAAAGCCAAACCTGTTAAGCGATTTTGGCCTATTCTGGAACGTAACCATGTTTTCAATCTACAAAAATATATTTTAGGCCAATATTAGCAAGTAAATAGTAACGATAGTTACGATATTTATCAAACGGATATTGTTTTAATTAAATCAATGTATTATATAGAAAAAATACTAGTGATGGGGAGGGTGAATGCACCCTTCGCCCTTCCCTAAAATACGCCCTTGCCACCAATACCTACTTACCTTAAGCATTATGTTTCCGAATTGACTATTTCGATGTGTAAAAATAAAGATCTATGTCCGATAATATTATCATTTATCAGTCGTACTCGCCGAACATTTTGAAAAWGCGTGCATATAATATGTACACACACTCAATTAATTTTACTGGTAAATTGTTATCGTACTCTAGAATTCTAGATGATTAATTGTTGACGATAATATGTTACGACTATTCATAATATTTTACGCACGATTACGCCTATATATTATATATTTGAATACTATATGAAGGTAAACTATTTTGCCTCTAACATATTATAGTATGTGCCCCAATCATAATCATAATAACATTTATCATACATTTATGATTTATCAAGTTCTGCATGTCGTTTGACCATGCTCAGTGCACTAACTCAACTAACTGCTAATTTAACCTAATTAAATTTATTTTTTCTCCTAGACCGTTTTACACAATTTCTTAACTTACTATGAGTATAGTAATCGAAAATTTGKCCCCCACGACCCAAGACATTTTAACCACAATAATACAATAACTAATAGGTAATCTATTTTATTTATAATAACTAACAAGTTATTAAATTTTAATTAAAGTAATAAAAAAAATCGCATTTTATTACCTTAAAAACTTTGGCGTAATTCCATTAAATTTCAACAGGTGCTAAATTTTTATCGGTCCAATAATCGTAATGACAAATTAAGTCCACATATTACTCATATTTAAAGCTATTGCATTACAAAGCTATCGCGTGTACCATAGGTATCTTTTTTATATTTGATAACAATATAACAAAAACAAATATMAAAATTTTTAGGTGCTTATATTTTAAATACTATATGTGCTGTATTTGTTTTCTATGATATACTATACRTATAAAAATATAATATTTATGTGCAATTAATTAAAGTGATACCAAMATTTTTAAATAAGTWAAAAAAAAGTCATTYAACAAATCAATGAAATATAGTTGGTATTRTATTTTAATAGATATAAAGTTCAGCATCTGCAGGTGCAAAAGCATATCTTTGCTAATAACAGGGGGTGCTCTTTTTTTGAAGTCAACTTTCCTCCATAATTTAATATAATTTAAGGATTCTCAATTGTTTTCCTCCTTTTTTTTTGCATGTTTTGTATATAAATATTAAGAAAACATCATACTGTTATTGTAAAAAAAAAAAAAAATGTTGTTAAAATCTTAAATATTGCGAAATAACATTACTGTAACTAATGGCCATGTAGCTGCAGAGTTTTTATTTGATCGATAAAAAAAAAAAACAGGGGTGATGCTAGTGCACCGTCGTACGCTCCCGTAATTGCGCCACTGCTTAAAAATATATCGCTCACAGTTATGCGACGACGTTTAAAACTAAGATATTTAAATGTCTTGTTAGGAATGAGTAGTAGACTCATATTTGTACAAAGTATGTATAAATCAATATAGGTATACCTACTAGGAGATATGATACCTAAATATAAATAAAATTTCGCTGGAAAATTTGGAATGTTAGAATACATATATTATTTCATTTTAAATTATTTTTTATTTTGCTGTTGCATTACTCATCAATTGCAATGATTCAGTAAGTACAATAATGATATTAAGGTGGCTTGGTGTGGTGTGTCGTGGTTGAAGTTCACTCGCTCCACCCGCATCCACTAGTTCCCTGATAGGTGATCACTGACCATTCGGGATCTTAATGGCAAACACCTAGCCACTCATATATACGTGTTATCAACTCACTATACCAATCCTCACGATTAAAAACCTACTATTACTAGTAGAATAACCATTAGCCACCCAATGGTCCCAATGGCCTATGTTCTCGCAGGTTAATTATTAAAAATTTTAATTATATTTTAAATATTTTATTGTTATTATTGTTTAATAATATCACATCCATTCACAATTCGATTATAATTACAATATGTTTGTCAATAAATATGGTAAATTTATAGAAGTTCGGTGATGATATATTATAAGCATATCAAGCATAAAATACATAGTAAATTAAAAATTTTCCTATGAGGATTTTAGTCCGGGATTTAAGTTAAATATAATAMTTTTTAMTTGTATAATGGAAAATAAAAATGTTGAAGAATTATCTGATCGAAAGTTTTAGAAGATTRTCTATGCGTTAACTATATTCAGCTGTATCGGGATTTGTAGCTACACGACGGACCCTAACTAGCTAAGCTTGTGTAAAACGATAAGCGACTATTATGTCTAAAATCTAAATCAACTCTTAAAAGTTCGGTTTAAAATAAACTGGGAACAAATCCAATTTGGGTGTACACCACAGAAAAAACGATTATCGAATGTTATGTTATTCTACAACTGAAGCGCAACAGCGTAAATACAATAATTACTACCTTATTAAGATATCACTTGAATCGTGTTAAATTTTTTCTTAWTTTACAAATATATTAGCTCGTCAATATAGTTAATATAGKTTTCACTACCTACGTATACAAAAAAGGTTTTGAGAAAATTTTCTTAAACATATAGTGTAGAATTATAATATGTAATTAGTTTACTTTTGGAAATTGGTACTCCGCGAGCCACTAGTTTTTTCTTTAGATCCTTAAAATAGTTTAGCGTTCAGATCTTCTATTATTTCATGGCATCTACTGCTTTTACTGATATTCTGCCAAAATAAAACCTCGTATAGCTGTTTACTTTGCTGCTTCAGGTGCGTCGGAACTAAAATAAACAGTTTTTAATTTTAATATTAATAACATGATATCGTTTTCCATTAGTCATTACCTAACTATAACTATAAAATATATTAATTAATTYGCTGAAATAAAATAAAAATTTGTATACATTATAGGTACAATAATTATATATAGTAAATCTATAATTAATAAAAATAGAAATAATGACTATTAGAAAAAAAAAACTATTTTTTAAAGTATTGTTCAAAATCAAATTTGTTTTTATCTTTCTTCGTATTTCTGAATTTTATTTCAAATATAGTTGAGTCTGGCTAAAGTCAGATTTCCTGGTTTTATGCGCATCTATCTATGTTTCTAATTTTAATGTAAATATTTAATAATTACAATGGGATAATTCTAATAACATATTTAAAAAGTTTTGAATACCTGGATGTGAAATT